GATAAAACTGAGACGGAGACTTAAAATATAAAAAGGCACTTAAGGCAGGTGCACAGTACCGAGATAAATCTTAAATACATATTGTTTGTGCTATTATGGTTCCATGGAAAAACAGTTTGTTATCACCACCTTGCTACAGAGTAACTCCAGTCAACAAGGTCATGAAAGGCACTGCAGTGTAGAAGAATCTTTAGAAATAGTTCCACATTAATAAAAATGTATTTTCCCACAAAAAATGTGCTTTGTTTCCTGTAACACCACTTTTCCTATGCCGCCACAAAAACAACAGTTTTTTATCCTTATTGGGTTGAAGGTGTAATCATTACTAGAATAACGGGTTGCTTGTCAGCAGTTACCAAATGCTAGTTCTATAAGATATCATATTTTAATTCTCTCTCCTTTGCCTCCCCTTTCCTTTGCTCATCTCCTTTTTTATTTTCTAGAGACACTTCTTCAGGAATCTGGGCTCCATCATAACATATGCGTTTCTTGGCACTGCCATCTCCTGTTTTGTTATTGGGTGAGCATCTACTTTCTGTTCATAAAATTCCAAATCACAAAGTTAGTGTATATCAGTGTAATCCAACCCCTGCCCATCTCCAGCAATCTGATGTACGGTGTGGTCAAACTGATGCAAGTGGTCGGACAGCTGACTGACAAGTTCTACTACACTGACTGCCTTTTCTTTGGTGCTATCATCTCTGCCACAGACCCAGGTACGGTGATCACTCTCAGACAGTTAAGAGAACGGAACATGTCAACAATTCAGTGTCTGAATGATTTTCCTTTGCTTCTGTGTGTAGTGACGGTGTTAGCCATTTTCAACGAGCTCCACGCAGACGGTGATCTCTACGCTCTGCTGTTTGGAGAAAGCGTCATGAATGATGCAGTTGCCATCGTGCTTTCCTCGTAAGTCACAATCAAAGTTGCATTTTTTGCCTCATCAAACCCACATCTGAAACAAACACTTTGCTTACTGCAATACCAGACCAACATTTTTACGTGTATGTTTTTAAAAAAAAAAAAAAACCTCTTCCCATCCGGTGTTAAAATTCAATACTCATGTGTGAGACAGAGCAGCAGAGCTTTGCACCTCGCCTCCTCTTGGCAGACAGACAGCACTCTGCCTCCCTCTGTTGGAAGATATCCAATGTCCTCCTCCTACTGATTTTTTTATGACCACTTATTTCATTTCATTTAGCTAAAAATTAAAACAAATTCATTATGAGCACAGATAAATTCACAAAAGTACATATTTCTATAAATACAAGTCAGTAAATCATTTCAAAACATTACTGGGAAATTGATTAATTTGTTTTCTGTATTTCAGGTCTATTGTGGCTTACCAGCCCAGCGGAGCAAACACACACATGTTTGATGCCGCAGCTTTTTTCAAATCAGTGGGGGTTTTCTTGGGTATATTCAGTGGCTCCTTTATAATGGGTGCAGCTACTGGAGTTGTCACTGCTCTCATATCCTTTTATCAATGCTTTAAAATGAAAGTACACATTTTTTAAGTCACATTTCCAGACTAACCTATTTCTTGAAACAGTCCCTGCATTATAATGTTTTTCTTTAACACGACCTCCACGTCACCAAGTTCACCAAGCTGCACTGCTTTCCACTGTTGGAGACGGCCCTCTTCTTCCTCATGTCCTGGAGTACCTTCCTGCTAGCTGAGGCCTGCGGGTTCACAGGTGAGCTGAGGAGGAAGTGCTTGTACTTTGGGAAGTAAGAACGAGACAAATGTGGTCAGGATTTTAGTACAAAACCAGACAAAAATGTCCCAATCTCCATTTAAATTGTTCTTCAGGCCCCAACAGTCCTTACATTCAATCAAGCGGCACCATAATGAACACCCTAGATATCAGTTCTCTAAACATTTTTTTTAACACCAAGATACATGAAAAATGCTCAAATGTGAAAAGGAGTAATACAACATTTATTTTTTATTTTTGTGAAGTCGTCCTTAAAGCAAACGTGTTTGCAATAAGACTATGATGAGCACTTCAAGGAATAAATTGATATTTCCACATGTGAAGAGCTTCTTCTAGATCTGTCAACATGTGGGTCTTTTTCTACATGATGGAACATTACTGAGTAAAGATGGACTATCAAAAGACCCTTAAGTCATTAAATATTTGGGAAAAAGACGACAGTGTTCCAGATAGGTGGGAGATTTTTCTGTGCTCAGTGACAAATGCACTTTACCCAGACAGAGCCTATTTATTCCACGCTCTCTCTCACAGGTCATTGATTTGTTCTAAATAACATAATTATGGGCACTTTAAACCACTTAGTGAACAGAATGTGTCTGTTACCCAAATGAAATGTGACAGGGGCTTAAAAACCGATTATGTAGCAAATAGATAAAATCAACAGATAATATATGACTTAGTATCAAAAGCATCAAGAGGACTGAGAATCTTTAGTTCGGAGGTTTTTACATAATCACTACAGCGGGTGAATTGTTACACTGTGTATTCAAATTAGCCCTGTCACTGTCACTGCATTAATTAACTGCTTTTGAATGTGTGTTGTGTGTTCTACAGGCGTCGTGGCCGTGCTCTTCTGTGGCATCACACAGGCTCACTACACGTACAATAACCTCTCTGAAGAGTCTACAAAGAGAACCAAGCAGGTAGCATCTGACCACTTCCTGCACACATGGCCATATTTATTTTGAAAGTCTCTTTTGAACCCCCTGATACTACCAACTGGGTGCTTGTTCCCTGGTGCCAGATGGCTCCCTGATCAGCCTGCTGTGACCTTAATCAGAGCTGTCTGAGGACGTCCCTACTGACACAACTGTTTAGTTTCCTAGTGGGGGTTCATTCTTGAGGACAGGCAGTAGATTAGCTTGTAGGCAACTCGCGGTGTGACACATTTTGGATCTGTGCTCAGAGTGTATCTTGGCAGTCTTGTAATTCAGTTGCAAAGACAGCTATGTGTGCACGTCAAGGTTAAAGCACTTTGCTTAGATTAAAACATTTTCATTTGTCTCTGTGTCAGCTTGCCCTTGCCTTCGTTTCGTTCCTCCTGCTCCGAGCATCATAGATGCAGTGAGCTCTGTAATCATCATGGCAGCCAGAGAGTCTGCAGCTCCGTCACACTGGGAGAGAAAAGAAAAAAAGTACTCCCAAAGCCCCCTCTGGATTCTGAGGGGATAGATGAGGAGCTTAGCTCAAAGAACCAGGCAGTGCAGTGTGAAAAAATATGAGAAATTCTCGTACAAAGCTTTAAAGCATCTTCTTAATGATTGTATCTATATTCTTGTTTTGTATTCATACATTTCTCAACTAACTCCATGATGCATATTATATGTTTCTTGCAGCTCTTTGAGGTCCTTCACTTCCTCGCTGAGAATTTCATATTCTCCTACATGGGCTTGGCTCTGTTCACCTTCCAGAACCACATCTTCAGCCCCATTTTCATTATCGGGGCGTTTGTATCCTTTTGTTTCACGACCAGCATGAATGTTTCTGACTCCATTCAGCAGAGAACTACATTTTTCCAGAGCAGCAGAAGTGGGCGATAGGTGATGACTGGAACTCTGCTATGATGTCCCTGTAGACAGGTCATAGTCGACTCCAGATCCATGTCGCCCTTTAGTCCAAAGGTCAATCAAGTCCTTCCAGAAAAGATTTTACTGTTATATCTTTAAGTTAACTTTATGTTAATGTTGTTTGATTTAGGGCACCCTGATCTTCCCATCATTCAAATTTGAATTCTTGACCTGTGTGTCAGATTGCCATATTCATTGGAAGAGCCTTCAACATTTACCCACTCTCCTTCCTCCTCAACCTCGGTCGAAGGCACAAGATCAAGGGAAACTTCCAGCACATGATGATGTTTGCAGGTAAGAAAGAGACAGTTGGAGTTTTGTTTTGGGAAACAAATTGTTTTGAATGCTGCCCGGATATAAAAATCACGTCCCTTAGTGGGACATGTAGCCAGTCTGTCATCAGACTTTACCTTAATTATGTGACCACTTGTGAATACCTTGAAGAATTGTTAAACCCAAATCAGAGTTTAGTTTTCTCTCTCATAATTCATAGTTGATTTGGGGGGGGGGGTGTGATACTTTGCAGGCCTGCGAGGTGCAATGGCATTTGCCTTGGCTATCCGGGATACTGCCACCTACGCCCGGCAGATGATGTTCACCACCACCTTGCTCATTGTCTTCTTCACTGTGTGGGTGTTTGGTGGTGGAACCACACCCATGTTGTCCTGGCTGCATATCAGGTAAGATCACATCCATTGAATATCGTCTATGATGATCACATCTTTGTGCCCTAGAGAAAAAAATTCAGCTTCCTCTATACATTTGGATAAACGTACAAGTACTCACTACTAGAAATGTTTCAATTACGACAGAAGACACCCACACGTTTTTCAGATACATACCCACAATTAAATTCTCAACCAGTAAATGCTATGACACTGTAATGTTCATCAATGTCAATGAGGATCATGTCTAACTATTCAAACACAACTATGAATGTCTGTTGAGATACGGTGATGGAGTCAATTGTTTACCCTCAGCTAAGGCTAGCTTCCACTTCTTTTAATTTAGTGAATTTAATTATCTTATATATTATATAATATTAATAATTCTATGTATGTGCTATGTAATTAATTAAGTTTCTCATAACTAAATGATCCTGTATCTAAATCCAGTCATATAAGGGACAGAAGAAAAAAATCCACTGAACATTTCAACTGTTGACTGAATTTGTGTTTTCGAATCACACATTGTTAAAATAATACATTGATTTAATATTGACTTAATTATCGGCAGCTGTGTCTAAGGGGGTAGAGCGGTGGTCTGCGAGTTTGATCCTAGTCTTCCCCATCTGCATGCCCAAGTGTCCTTGGGCAAGATAGTAATCCTTGAATTGCCCCTTATTGAAAAATTGCCTATAAATTCACTATGAATGTGTGTGTGAGTGGGTGAATGGCTGTAGTAAACTGTAGTGTCAAAACTGTTCTGTAAAGCACTTTAAATTTAAACATGTTAAAAATCCAGCTGCTGTGGACTAGTCTTGTCCTGTGTGGTGGGACTGTCCAGGAGATGGGGCTAGAGTTCTCCTACTGGTCTACTGAGGACTTTTTGTTTCCCAGTTATTAAATCCGGAGTCTTTAAAAACTGGGACTTTTGTAGCATGTGTGCAGACATCCCAGCATTCACTGTTACAGGAAGTTCAGTGAGTCATTTACTCTAAGGTTGATCACATGAGCTCTCAAATCAAGAATGATTCTAAATCCAGTCATATCAGCTCTATCACCAGGCTGTAACAACACTGTCCCAACTTGAGACGTTATCAGCAGTTGGACTGTTGCTGTAGTGCTTTGCTTGTGTCTGTTTGCAGCCCAGCCTCACTTATTTTTGTCTGACCATGATGCACTGGGAGCTTGTATTTGTCATGATAAAGCGGATTATGGGTTGGCTGTGTGTGTGTGACAGCATGTGACAGAGTGAACAGCCTCTGTTTAATATGGGTAATGCCTCCTCGGGCCGAGCAGAAACTATTGTGTTTGGTGGAGGTTAAGAGCGCTGCCAAAATCTCCCCATGAACCCATTGCCATGGTTACAGGGACATGTGGTGCATGGCAGGCGGATACCGGCCGTGCTCCTCTGTGATTCTGGTTATCGTCCTATTGACATGTGCATAAATTTACAATTTTTACTCCTTTTGGGGAAACAATCTCAAAGCCCTGCAAAGTAGTAGGACGTCATGTTGCAGAGGACTTAAGAAATCTACTATTCTTTGTATTTTAACAAAAAATGTCAGAATAAACACTTTGCTTTAATACTGAAGATTCCATTTCTAAGATGTCATTTACTATTTTTATGACACAATTTTGCAGCTGTGAGTTAAAATAGGGCGGCCCTGTTGAGTCAGCTGGGTGATGAGCAGGATGTGACAGAGGACCAGTGCTGCGGTGGCAGAGGAGAAGCTGCTGGTTTGTGTTATTTGGTTTTGATGGATGATCCCTGATCCTCAGCAGTGAAGCCACAGAGGGAAAGAGTTTGGTCAGAGTAGAACAACAAATCTCTCGACATATTTGGGCGTGTGCAGTGGTATTTGCTGAGTTAATTTTTTTTATACAACTATCACTGAGGATTAAGTTCTTTAAAAATGTAGGTTGGGTCGTAAAAAAGTGATCCCTCCACCAAAGCCCAACAATCCCCTTAATTTCAAGAATTTGCACCAAATTTCAAACACACATACAACTTTTTCAACGAGGCAGTTCCAGGGCCGGTTGGAGCCAGTGCTTGATCTGCAATCAGTTCTTTGTGCCTCCTACACCGCCTAAATCAGAGGCTCGGGGTAGGATTATCATGACCAATAAGACCAACCAAAAACTTTGTCGTGACAACCATTTTTTTAAATCAGCGAGCACGAAAAGCTAAGTCTGCAGCGATAATAATGGATGCGAAAAACGAGGCAGCAGTGGTCCATGCATCAGTTCTCTAAATGTGCCCGATTTCTGAAATTAAAATCCATAGGAAAACTGAAATATTGTAAAACACCCAGTGACTAAAGAAAGTGAAAAACAATTCCTGGATCCACCCCCAGATCCAGATCCACACCAACATTTTATGGGTTCTTCCCTGACCCACATTCTTCCACCATGTTTTGTGGTAATCTGTCCTGTTGTTTTTGTGTAATCCTGCTTGCAAACAAACAAAGAAGGGTGAAAACATAACTTCCTTTGCAGAGGTAACAGAACTTCTCAAGCACAATTGTATATGAAATGTGTTCAGCTGAAACATTTGAAATAGTTAAAATGCTGACAGAAGCAGACAGTTAGAATGGAAGTAGCTGTAGCTGTTCAATTACAGTCACTATTATGGCTTTAACATTAGCTATAGCTCTACACATGCTGTAGTTGCATTGCCAAAGAGAGTGTATTAGAAATAGACACTGCCAGGAGTTCAACCTGATACTTCTCATATGACACACATGTCACAACAGTGGTTATTGGCTACAATCAGACCATGGCCCTGTTGAGAAGAAACAGTCAAATACGATCAGTGAGAGAATTCTGAATTACATTTGAGCTGGAAGTGTTAAATTAAGTGTGATAAACTGAGCATAAGTGTTGTCACACTGAAACCAGGTGAAATATAATCAAACATCAAATAAGAAATGAGTTTGATTGGACATGTTAAAGTGGAAAAGTGGTATAATGATCAGTTGAAGAGTTCCAGACGTTTTATCCAGATTTTTTTAGTGTGCATGCCTGAACATCTGCTGATCCTCTGTCTGGGGATTAGTGCATGTCCCCAAAACAGAGGATCATATTTGGCCAAGACTGTCGCCAATTACTGTTTAAAAAAAAAAAGAAAAATAATGTTATCGGCTTAAACTGTCATTTATGTTCAGTCACTCCATTAAATGAACACAGAGCAGCAAAATACCTTTTTGTTCCTCAAATGATGGGTAACAACTTTTATCATTTCCACTTGTGAGCAAATTTGAAAAATCACATTTAATCCTGATTGTTCCAGTTACTCAAATATTTTTTTTTACACAGAAGAAATCCCACAACAACACAACTGTTGACGAATGTGTATGTTTATGATGTGACAGAGTTGGAGACAGCGGAGTGTTGCAGCAGCAGGGACGTCAGTACGGGAAGTGGAAGTACTTCAGGTGCTGTATATCTGAATGTGTTTAAACTGAGTGGTGTTGGGAAACTGTGCGGTGTCTTCAGATAGGATCTGTCTCTTCACGATTTGACTTCTGTTTTTCTGGTGAAGGGGAAAATCATGCACCCTGTGAAAAAAATGAGACTCTCATAAAACATTAAGTATTTTTCAGTGGCTCGAGTTGGGTGTTTGATCTCAGGATAGAAATGAAACAGATTGGTCTCTGGTGAAGTATTATTTCAGAAAGTAGACTGCCTCACACACCAGCTCAGCTCTGGTGGAGGTGCTTCTTGCAGAGTTGCCATAGTAGGGTCAAGTGCTTTGTTCAAGGCTTTTCTCTGGATGTCTGTCTGTTTTTCTGTTGTTTCTCTATCAATGGGCCTCCAGTTTTCAACACAGTGGTGTGAAGAGCAGACTTCCTCACTGCGTTTCCCAAAAGCAGCACAACAGTCACGTGTGAACCAGTCTGCAGTGTGTTCAAGAGGAAGGAACCAAGAAGACTGTGTCACTCTTCATGTTGACTCTAGATTGCATGTCTTCCTTAGTAGACAGAAACCCTGCTGAAGAAACTACTTGTGAGGAATATTAGATGGATTGAAAGGGGAGGAGAGGTTGTTTTCAGGATTAGGATTAAAGGTCTATGAAGCTCTCTCTCTCTCTCTCTCTCTCTTTTGTAAGTATATGAACCGATGTGGCCACTCAATACTGTTTCTAATCAGAGGAAATGTGTTCAAGACCATGCCTCTCTCCTCTGGGGCCCCCCACCACTTGTGTTTTATAATCTCAGGTCCATTCCAAACAGGCTGCCACCAGCCACCTTGTTTTTGCAGATCCTCTGAGCACACTCTTCCAGATCCTAGTGTGTGTGTGTGTGTGTGTGTG